GAGAGGGGTGCTGCCTGGAGGTAACTTTTTTGCAATTGAAAAAGGACTGATTGAGACAAAAAAATCTATCGTATTTTTTTAGACTTGGGGGAAACAACAATTAAGTTTTATATGGAAAGAAAAGAACTAAAATCCAATTTAACATATTTATCAAACACAACATAATTATAATACCTCATCTCAAAGATATAGACAGATATAGAAGAATTATAAAGTATCAATTTTTAATAATGCATACTTTAAATTCCAGAACAGTAAACTGAAACTATACTTTGCTAAAATTCATTATGGAGTTAAAAATCCTAACTTGCTTACAATAAAAACAGGAAAAAATATTAACTTCAACAAAAAACATTCTAATCATTTTATTTAAGAATGAAAAAATTGACATCAATAGACCAAAATCTTGAATGAACGGGAAACATACATCAAGCAACTCTTGAAAACAATAGAAAGTTCAAATCATGATCACAAATTTTCAATACCAACTCTTGTTCTGATTGAACTTGGAATGGAAGCCTCTTGTTACTGCTAAGGAAAGCCTCCATTTATTTGATGGAAGGACCTGTAAACTATTTTTCTTCAAATGAATCGTTACATCTGTGTCATGCACTATGTAATTACAAAAGAGTGACAGCAGCCACAGACTTAGAAATCAAAAGAGGGAATTGTAGTCATTTGAAGAAAGCAATCAATATGTTCAAAGGAAACATCTCACCGCAATTACTAACATACTTGGGGCCTCTTTTGTATTCATCTTTAAATCTGTGAAGAAAGAGGTGCTTTTGAAACAGGCTTATCTGTCAATGGGCAGAATGTGCTTTTCATGAGTTGTTGATAAAAAGAAATAAAAACTACGTATTTCAAAATCCCAATACTGAAAAGAGGATTCATCCTTACAGAAAAAATATATTTAAAAACTAATTTTTTACAGAAATGAAAGCTGCAGGAAAATATTATCAAATACCAATTAAATTCCATTATTTTGTATTGCTATATACAATCAAAGGAAGTATTACTATAGATTTGAATTTCTTGACTTGGCATAAGAATAAACTAGATACTGTGTTGTGCCATTTAGGCACTGATCTTACATATACATCTTAATATAATATCAAAAAATAAAACAAAATTGCTTCAAATTACCATTAAATGTTAATACAATTGTATTTTAATGTCATTGCATACATTTTTAACAACTAATCATTTTAAGCATTTATGATTATTATATGAAGAAACAGTTGTATCAAAAGCATACATAAGATGCACTTTTTATACATTTTGAAAGCAATGTAGTTTATAGGAAATTACAAGAGTAGCTGGTCATACAAGGATAGCAGTGATTAAATTCCTATTCTAGCTATCTCAATAGCTTACACATATAGCACAAATTTGTTCCCAACTTTTACAAGGTGCATTATAAGACTAGTAGCAATTAATATCCAACCATTTTTATTATTATATAAGATTTCTAGTTGAGTCTGAAAGAATAAGAATACTAATGTTTTGCAAGTCTGCCAGATTTTCATCTAATACATGTAGATTCTATCCTAGTTAAAAAAAAAAATGACAAATATATCAAAAGATATATAAATTTTAAACTGAGCTTTGTATCAGTTATTTAAAAATTCAGTGTAAATTGGATCATTTCGTATTACCAATTACCAGTTTAAAAATCATCATGGACATGAAATATGTAGATTTCATACAAGAATTACTGACATTAAGCAGATTTCATGAGAAAAAGGAATAAAGCAATTTTTAAGAACTTTAACAGTTTTATTAATGAAGAATGAAATGTTTCTAATCAATAGATTAAAATGATTAATCAGTCGACAGCCTAATAATCATTAAACACCAACTCAATTTTATCAGAAAAATCATCTTTTTTTTTTTTATTTAATTAAGAAAATGGAAAAATTAGCTTCTTAATAATAACACAGCCAATTGCCATTTGATATGACAAGGATACTCTAACGAGGACAACTAGAACTAGTAATGAAGGGACCTAAATTGAGTTTGTGCCAAGCAAATTTCTTTTTAAGCAATGAGGCAATATAAAATTATAAAGGAGCAAATTAGCCATTATTTTGCAAATTCTTCATCTTTTATCTAAAAAAAGAAGCCTTACAAAGAAATTCTTTTTCTGAAGCTGTCTTTGTTCTGGAAAGAATTATTGATTATAAATTAATGAAAGAGAAAAGAAAAAATGAATTTGTTTATGAACACCATTAACATCTTGACAGTGAGAAAAATTCAAGACAAATTTAAAAAGAGGCTTATATTTATTTTACTTGTAAAGGCTTTAAAATAATGAAAGTAGAAGTGGCAGAAAGCAATAAAATCTTAGTTGGGTATTTTGAGAAAGTCAAAAACAAAAATTTTAAAAAATTGCTTTCTAAGAACATCACATCAGACATTGGGCTTTACAGAATGTGAAGAAGTATTATTTTATATGAATGTACTCTGAATTCCTGGAATGAGGAGGTATAATTATTTAGATTATTTATATTTAAACTATTTATCTTTGTTGTCATGATGTGTTGGCCATTATGTCTTCCAGCCCTCTTCAGGTGTTTGTCAATATGGCTAACATTTATGGAATTTCAAAATGAACTCTTTATTTAATCTATGAAGGCAGATTGTTCTTGTTCTGCTGTCCTTGTCTAGGGATATATATATATATCTCATTTATTCTTCTTTTGTACTGCTCAGTTATTACTCACTCTGTTTCCACTGAGTCTAAGTCTGCACTATCCAACCCAGTGAGTGTCATTAAATTCACAAACCAATGTTTTAATCCACTAGGCTATTATCCCATGGGAAAAATCAGAACCTTAAGTTTTAAACCTATTGTTCTTGGCAGAAATTTCTCCATAAGGTTGAGCAACTTCTGAATATTGTCCCGATGTCGTATGTACAGCAGATGTTTTGAATCATTTCTACAAGCTCTTGATGCAAGAGAGACAGACCATGACAGTTATCCAATCCTTCTCCACTACCCTTCTGTTTCTGCCTGCAGAAGTTGGTTATATTTTTGCAAGGTGGTTATAACTCTAAAAGAATACATTTCATGCCTTTCATCCTGTTAGTATTTATCTAGGTTGCCACATGATTTTTTTTCATTGTGTTATAGGCATTGGATGATCCCTTTCTTTATGTTGTATGGATAGGAGGAATTGAAGTTAAAGTACTATCCATTAAAGGCTGGCTTGTGATATATTGATATCATGTACCCATTTCCTATGTGAGTTATTAGTATATCCAGGTAGGCCAACTGATTTTATTATTCTTCCATTTTGAACTGGATCAAATGTTTTGAGTTAACATGGTCCAAAAGTATTTGTACAGTGTTTTAGTGAGGTCAGAGTATGATGGTGTCATCTATATATCTCAGCCATACTATTGGCTTTAGTGGTTATATTCCTAAATCTATTTCTGCAAAGTATTCCATGTATATGTTCTCTATCACTGGTGACAACAGCAAACCTTTAATCAAGCCTTCCTCTTGATGGTATATGTCAGAACTTAGTTGTAAGAATGTTGTCCATACACAGAATGTCAACATTTACATCAGGTTATTCATTGGGATTCTAGTATGTTCTTTAAAAAAAATAAATGGAGCCACTACTTCAAATACAGGTAGCCACTAAAAATAATATTTGAAGGAATAAAAAATATGTTGAATTAAAAGAAATCTGTTAAACGACTTTAAAACATTTGTCTAATCACTCAACCAGCATAAACAAATTCCATTCTTTGTTTACTAGAGTTTAGGCAGGATGGTGACAAGCCTGTTGCTGCTTTATCACTATTTCACGGAAAGTGCTCGGATGAACCCTGGTCCTGCCATTTCAAACCTTTATGTCAAAGATATGCCATGCCACTTATGTAGTAGCAAACCCCACCCACATTTCCTCCATATTCCATCAGTGAGAAGTAAGTTCCACTCTAACAGCTTTTTCCTGTGAACCACTGTTCTGTGGAACCCACACTCAAGAGGATGTTTCTCCGACTCACTACAATCTTAACCTGTTCAAGACATTACTGTAAAACAAAAAAAAAATGTCTCTTTTTGCTATTTTATATTTGAGTACGATTCTTGTTCAGGATTTTTTTCCAAGTAATCCAATTCATTTTGCTTCAGTGAATGCTGGAGAGTTCAACTTTTAAGTAGCAAATGATGAATTAAGTATGTTAATTTGATCTCAGGAAAAAGTTTCAGCACAGGTTTTGAAATAAGAGTAATTTTAAATAAAGGATGATAAATATACTAAAACTGTAAAATAAATATTTCAATGATTTTTTTAAAACAATTTTCTTTTATCTATAAACAGATCAAATATGACTCCAGTATATTAATATTTATATGGTTAATTTGGTACAAAGTATAATTTCTGTTTGTAATGAGAAATGTATATCAAAAAAGATGGTCCTGTCAACAAAAAAAAATTCTTGTTCAGTTTTTTTTTTTATAGGCACTTTCAACTTTTGTCCAAATAAATGTTAGGAGTCAATCTGACTGACATATCTATTGGGTCTCTTTACAAGCAATTTACTGCTGCTAGCTTATGTACGTAATTCTTTCATATTTGCTATTGGACAAATTCCAATGTTCTACTTGAAAAATCAATAACATTTCTAAAATGAACATTTCAGGGAAAGAGATACGTCAGTAGAATGATAATTAGGAAGAGTCAGCAGCTTCTAAACATCAAAACAAAATAAAAAAAATATATAATTAAAATTATATATATAGTTTTAAGGTATATGGCCTGAATGAAGATTGTGTTCAAGCATGAAACAGATTGTCACTTCTTAGTGTTGACCTCAGTGCCCACTTTATATATATATAAAGGAAACAAAATGGTTGTAATTATGCATACAGTTAATTTTTTTTCCTCTTAGCTACTCAAATCATTGAAGAAAAGAGTAAATATAAAGGTTCAGGATCAAATTACAAAGTCAATCAAATAGAAAATTATAAACAATAGCAATACCTCTGTTTTGTCTCCACCTTCTTCATCATCAGATTCTGCACTATGTGGGAAGTTGGAGAATGTATGCGTGTGTCCTTTTTCCAAATCTAATTCATCTTTCATTCGGCCTGTTACATTGTGATCAATATCTGACAAGATAAAAAAATTTAAGCATTAGCTGAAGGGAGAAAAAAGTCTTTCTTTAAAGTAGTAATCAATTTTTAAATTTAACCATAAATTTTGTATTAAATTTTAACAAACAAACAAAAATCCCTTTTTAGACTATCACATTTATTGATTATGATCAATTAATATTAATGTAAAAGAAAGAAAAAATTAAATGTAAACAAATTAAAATCAATATTACTTTTAATGAATTTACAAATGGTCATGAAGTGAGTAAAGTTAGTAAAAGAAAAGAATTACCTAAAAACCAAAACAGAAAATACCTTAGGCAAAATTATAGAAAATTATTTAATACTCAATGAAAGGGAATGAAAAATACATTATGAAAAGTTTAAACAAAATCAAGTTTAGAAATAAAGTCAAAATATCTAAATTGTTTTAATTTTCTTGAATCTTCAATTTAAATATACTTATAAAAATTAATTTTCATTTCATCTTTTTGGTGATGTAGGCATATAAGAATTTAAGCATTAAAAATTTAATAATTTCTATGAATTTTGTGCACATGTAAAATTAAATATTACTAATTTATATTGAATTGACTTCATGAACAATTAGGTAAAATATTTGATAAATACTTAATATTAAAAAAAAAATGTGAAAATATATTTTTTTGAATTTTATACTGTTGTTACTAATAGACTACCTAATTAACAATATTCTTTTTTAATTTTTTTTTGAAGAATTTTCATTAAAAAAATAAAGAAAATGCAAATATCTTTTGAAATATAACTTATGGCAAGAACAACCACAAACAATGTTCTACTAGTGACAGCATTTTTCATAATAAAAGATACAAAATACGAGTTTTTTTTCTTACATAGATTATCCATTTCATCCTTTGATTCTTGTGCATTATATTTGTTTTCTATAATGTTGAAAAAACTAAAACCATCATTACAAATAATGAAAAAATTTTTTTTTCAGTCTAGAGTTTAATAACTATTTGCTACAGTTGAAGATTTGTGGTAAAATAAGACTAAGTATACTTGTTATACAAGTTTGAAATGTGGTCAAATGTTAAAAGTGGCCTGGGTCAAGAGAAATACCTTCAATTTAAAAACTTGGAAGTTATTAATGCTTTTAAAATATTTGACAACAGAGGCAAAACTAGAAATGTAAGAAAAGAATTAATGGCTAACATATAATCTTGAAAATATAACATTTTTCTTAGTTTTTTAAGTAACAAAGACTAAGATCAAATAACATTATTTTTTTTATTTTTATCTATCAAGGAAATGAGTTTTATTTTTAATAAAATAGATTTAGTACAACTTTCCATCATAATTTCAACACCTTGGAAAAGTCAAGTGAAAATGAACCTTTTTTTATTATTCTATGTGCTCAGATAAAACGTTATTTCAAGTTCCATTGTATTTTTTCAGATTTCTTTTATCATTAACAGAAAGGGCAATATACATAATATATCATAGATTTATGAAAATTAGCTATGTGTAGGAAATATTAAACTCAATGTTAAGGCATAAGACCTAAGTTAATACTGTTCTAAATTTGCATTTTTCTGTGTAAAGTATTCTCTATAAACTTATCAATTTATTATATCTTTATTCTTACTGTTACCCTAAAGGCTTTCTACTTTGGTATGAGACAACAAAAGACCATGGTTGAATTAAAATTGGATCTAATCAAACCAAAATTAAAATTTTAAGATAATTTTAAAATTTTTATGTGTGCTTAGAAATGTATAGGAAAATACTTTTCTACATTATCAACAGGTTTATGAGGGGAAAATAGCAGAGATTGATTAAAAAATGTTTTTTGTTTAGCATCTTTCCTAATTTAATTATTCAATGAAGAGTAAATTGATTTCCCTCTAGAAGTAGCCATTGAATATTCAGTTTCTCTTTTTTTTTTTTTTAAGATGATCTAATTCTTACTTCATATTATGCAGGTGCAAATATATCTATTCTGAATGTAGCAGGCAACAAGTATTTATATTTATTTTTATGCACACAATTATACGTGAATATTAAATGGTTGAATAAGTAGTCATATACCAGAAAATTAGGTTTATCTTTGAAAATGCTATCTTTATATTGAGGATAGAATTATAAAACAAAAATAAAAAAAAGAGATGAAGTATATATTTGTAAAAGTTTGTAACCCAACCTGAACAACAGTCAACATAAAAGAAAATGAACTGAGATTTTAAAATATTGTTGGAGAAAGATATGGGTGGAAAGTTTTATCACACAGGAACGTAAAATTCTTAACCAATGAAGTTAGAGCTTGAAATCATAATATATTTTTTCTTCTGTAAAAATGGTCTGCATTTACTTTAGAATATAATTTCCTCAAGACAAGCAACAAGATGCAATGGAAGCAATCAAATCTAATGATTTGAAAACCAGACTGCAATGCAGTATTTTCCATAAATAGACAATTTGTTTGAAGGTCATTTCAAGAAAAACAGACAATCTTCACCATCCGATAAATCATAGCACTAAATATCTTAATTTTCATTTCAACTATTAATGCTTCTTTTCAAAAGAAAGATAAGTAACTGGTGCAGTATGATCTGAGTTCATCATACCAAAAGCTTTGGCATAACTATCACCGAGGACAAAGTCAGAATATGTTCAAATTTTTGCATTTCAAATTTAGTGCAAACAGGCAGCAGTTCTTCACTTTTTGCCCATAATACATGCTGTAAAAGAACAAATTAAATGGATCTTTTTTATTTTTATATCATAATTTTGCCTCAAAAGTCACAGAGTTGTCTAATGGCTAAATCAGAAATTATTATCCAAACAAATTTTATAATCATGAAAAAAATAACACAAAAAAAATAAAAATCTATGTAAGCTTACTTTATGCAATGTAAGTAATGAGTAGAACTATAAAATTATTCAACTTTGCTAATGGGGAAAAGGATATATAATTTTTTATATATCAAGAAAATTTTTTTTTGTTGTTGTTGTTATTTTTAATCATTTCACTTCAAGCAAAGTGTGAATTCCACTAGTACGCAGGAGGTTACAGAAAGTGAAAGCGAGAGAAAAGATTGAGTATAGAGGGGACCGAGGAAAGGATAAAAGCTAAACGGAGTTCAAGAAGACAGATGGTGATTGACACTGCATTTAAATTTTTGAAGATAATAGTTATCAGGGAAGCAAGGAAACAGAAGGGAGTTCCACAATTGGGAAGTACGAGAAAAGAAACTGTTGGAGTAGAAGTGGCAGTTACATTTACCTAATTCAACAGAAAAAGAGTTGGACTTAGATGCTAATCTAGTAGCACACTTAAACACACATAGCATGTGCACCAGGAAAAAAAGCTCATTATAGCAGTAGCCATGAAAATATTTGTAGAAAAGACATAGGGAAGCCATTTCATGTCAAGAAAAGCGTTCTGGCACAACACACTAACTCAACCTTCCTTGCAGAAGATGCAGCTACTGATTCAATGTAGGCATTCCACTTCAAATCAGTTGAGAACATGAGGCCAAGAAGGTGCATTGTGTTGCTCTCCATGAGTCTAGCATCAACCATACTGATCATAGGTAGGAAAGTTTCTCTATGGTGGTTAAATGAGAGCAGTTTAGTTTTGGAGGCATTAAAATTTACAAGCCATTTCCTGCCCCAGTTAACTACTGATTGGAGATCCTTTTCAAGAGCAGTGGCCAGGTTGACTTTGATGGATTTGCTATTGAGACTGGACTAAATCATATTGTCATCACCATAAATGTCTACTTGATGTCATTAGAGAGATCATTGATGAAGATCAGAAACACTGTAGAGCCCAGGAGATAGAGCCTTGGGGGACACCCATGTTCGTGTGAAAGGATCTGGAAGCAAGCCTGTTTAAAACGAGCTTCATTTCATGATTTTTGGAAATCAAACACACATCCAGTAACAATAAGCCCTGGAGCTTATGTAGAAGACCAGTGTGCCAAACCCTGTCAAACACCTTCAAGATATCTAGAGCCACAGCTCTAACTTCACCATTATTATCAAGAGCTTGATATACATATTCAGTGATGGCCATTAGCACATTAGCAGTAAATCTGGCAAAATGGGAGCCATATTGCTTGTCAGAGAGTAGGTCATGAGAGGTAAGATATGTCAGCATTGATTAAAGCCTCAAATACTTTGCTGAAATGCAGTAGGAGACTAATAGAATGATAAAGGGGTCAGAAGGTTCTCCAGATTTCTTAAAACCAGGAACTACAGAGGAGGACTTCCAACAAACAGGAAAGTAGGAAGCAGAAAGGCAATAATTGTAGAATTTGGAGAGAATTGGAGACAGCTTAGGAGCACATTTTTTTAGGACAACAGTTGGGATCCTTATGGGAGTCTAATTTAGAAATAATGTTCGAGACCTGTGATGGGGTTATGCACATATCATTCAATAAAGCCTCTGTTCTAGGAGGAAAACCAAGTGTGGATACTCCAACTGATTTGAGTGTTGAGTTGGAAGAGAATTTCCAAGCAAAGCATTCAACCTTATCTGCTGTAGATGTCAAGACTTAAAATTGATTGAATAGATGAGAGATGGAGGATTTGCTGTTGTTCAATACACTCTTGCAGAGCTACCAATAATCTCCAGAAATGAACTTGCAAGACACTATACATCGTTTCATTTTATCAACAAACAGTAAATGTGCTTCTTTGAGGACACACAACTCATTAAGAGCAAAGACAAAGAGACATCTGTTGTAATCAGACATATCGCTCTGGTACAGCCAGAAGAAGTGATTTCTGTGGGTTATAGCATTTATACATGTAGGTGAGAACCAAGGAGATGAATGCGGTTTAACTTGGTGGGATGAAAGTTGATGCTTGCTTTCACCCAAGAGAAGACCTCAGAATGGGATGACTCAAAAAATGCATTCCAGGGGACATTACAAAGGAAGTCATAGAATGAGTCCCAATCCACATGTTGATAACAGAAAGATATTCTGTTGGTAGGAGGTTCTTAGCTGGTAGGGAAGTGAAAAGAG